CTTTTAATAATTGTATAATAAATATTAAATGAGTCAGTACAGTGGCACAGTTGGTAGAGCAACATATTGCCTCTAAGGAAGAAGGTTGCTAGATCAACTTTCTGTTCTCCAGGTACTCCAGTTTTCTCTCATAGACCAAAATCATATTTATTATATGACGTAAAAAGCAAATTACTTAATTATTTGGGATAACACTACAGTAGATGTTGTAATTGTGCTTGTTTTAGTCTTTATTTCCAGTTTTGGGGTTTTATAATCACAGTTTTTCTTCACAAAAGTAAACATCAACAAGCAAATAAAACTTGTAACATACATAGAAGAGGTGATGCCTTTAAATTTTAAAAAGCTTGTTCATTGTTAATGTCTTTAAAATATATATTTTGATATTTTTAAATAAAATGACAATTGTTTTTGAAGGGAACTGTCCCCATCAAATTAAGATTTAATTCATTTAAACCCCCACATTTAACATAAAACATTAGTTCATCCAGTGTTGTTTCTCTTACTTAACAAATGAATTTATTTCACTTTACCTATAGAATACTCACATTAAGTGTTTTCTTATGTAGGTAAAAATCTGTTTAACACCCTGATAAAATACAACAGAATGCAGGACATGGAATCTTCTTCTTTAAAGGTTTTCTGGAGGAGGACCCCCAGACCCCCCGCCAGTGTGTCCCCTCAACATTACAAATACTCATTCTTGTTTTTTGTCTCTGAATGTCATAAAATCAGTGATATTATTTGTGAAATTACAAATTGAACATCTGTTGGCAAATCCATAGCTTTAAATTGCCATAGTTTTCAATTTGTCATATTTGCAAACACATCATAAATTTTCTGTTATAGATATTAGTTTTGGTGTTCCACCCCTGGTTTTTCAGTGCCCCCCCCCCCCCCCCATGGCTTCCCCTGAAAAACAATTCTTCAGGCGCCACTGACAGTATGATGGAACCACCACCTCATTTTACTGTATTCAATAACGACAGGGCCAGTTGAATCTCTTTCCTCCAGTTTTGTAGTTTCTTTTTTGTTTTGGTGCTTTCTGTGTATTCGTATGCTCCAGAACCAGCTGCGAGGTGACGTCAGGACGTCCCATGTAGTTACATAATGGAGGCTGACAACCATTGGATTTGCTTTATTTTTATTTTTATTATTTATAAAAATCAATTTTAGGACATTTTGAATGGATTCTGAATCTTTGTAAATGAGAATCACGATTTTGATGTAAAACAATTTTTTTTGGTGCACCCCTAATGCCTAACATTCACCCTCCGCCTCAGATTTATAAACAACACAAACCTTAAATATTTTCAGTTAATTCCACACTCACATTCTTTATGACTGACTCTCAGCTACTACCACATCAAATTACATCATTATGTATAAATCTGTGTGTGTGTGTGTGTGTGTGTGTGTGTGTGTG